TTGAGCCTGGTGAGATTTGAACTGCCAAATTGCAGGCAGCCGGCAGGCAGCAGAAGTAGCCGGCAGTACAGAACTTTAACCACTGCGCCACTGTGGCACATATGTAACACATGCATACTTGTTTGCACACTTATGAGTGGAGTTTGCTCCCAAGAAGCACATTCTGAATTTGCCATCTTACCCCTATATTTATCCATCTCTGCAAATGCTAGAACACACAACTGCTTTGTTTTGACTGGGAGGTAACTTCTATTTTTATTTTCCTTTCTTTTTAGTTTAGAAAATGAAGGAGACACATTCCGAAGAAAGAATGAATCTTCCTACTTCAGTTTTTGTTTTAAAAAAGTATTCCACGTGTAATAAAAGCATTTGCGCTTTACTAATTCTACAGTCTAAACACTGCTGATACGACTGTATTCTGAACGATAAGGCATGGTGGTGTATATCTTGTCCTTGCTATGAGCTGATACAGTACCCAGGTCAAACATGGTACATCAAACACACAGTATTAAAAGTTACCAAGTGCTTCAGTAAGCTTATGGAATCTAGAGATTTTAGTCTTACCTTCCTTGGATCAACATTTCAAAAAGAGTCATTAATTTGAATGAGAAAGCACCATAGTAAGTGGTTACTAATGGCGCCCTGATATAAAGGAGCCAAGTTACAATGCCAGCTAAATAGTCAAAGTTGTCTCAAGCTTCTTTCATATACATAGATTTGATGCTTGTGATAATTCCTTTGGCTTGAACATGACACTCAATATATTCAGCATTTAAATATATATTCAGCTTCTAAATGCATTATTAAAAACTTATGGGACTCTCGATTACCATGTCCATTAGCTCCTAATACAAATTAGGATAATAAATATGAACGATGTTGGTTTAGTCTCCTCTTACTACGGGAAATTCTCAGGAAGGGAGAATCTTGATTGTCCCAGGTTCAGGAAGAAATTGCAATTGATTATCAGAGAAATTGACAATTTGCAACCTTGCCATGTGGCATATTGTTTATATTACAGAATTATCTGTGGGTACCGCCTGAATAATATCACAAGCTAAGAATACCAATGAATCAGGAAGCAGGTTTATCCACTCAGACATTCGTATCCCACAGTAGCTAAAAAGATGCCAGAGAGAAGTTCACACATAACTCATGAATTACAATTCTCCAGCTGCATTTTTTTTTAAAGAAATCATTTCATTGCATTCATATTCGGTTTTATATTGTGAGCTCTTCTGGAACCAGAAAGCACCAAAATAAAATGTTTTAAAGGTTTATGTAAAACACACACATAACACAGGTGCATGTGTTGCAGCAATTTAGGGGAAGGTGGCCCAAATTCCTGAAATTCAGCTTACAATTCCAAAAGATTGGGCTGCCGAAATGTGCCACCGAATTTCCATTAATTCCAAATTAGAAACAGAGCCTTTACAGACAGGATATTTTACATCTAAATAGCAGCCAAGGATAGAGGGGGGGAGAGGGAGAGAGGGGGGAGGGAGGGAGAAGAAGAGAAGAAGGGGGAGAGAAAAGGAGAGACAGAGGGGGAGAGAGAGAAGAGAGAGGGAGAGAGGGGGGAGGGAGAAAGAAGGAGNCTTAATTCTGCAAAATGGAGTTGAGTGGTTTCTTTCTTGGTTATTAAGTGAAGGAGCCGTGACAGTTATATTTTCATCACTGGCATAACTGTGAACAACGGCTCCTGTTGGGCCACAACAGTTTTAAGGTCCTATTCCAATAAATTAACCACAGCACTGCACTAACTCTTTCCATTTTATCATGTAAAAAAAATGAAATTGATATGTAGAAAGATGCAGTCCAACTGACCCTCTTAGAATACTATTTCAATTATCTCTGATACGAATTCCCAATAAGAGCAAATGATTCCTTTAAAGTATTTTAACCACATCCAACAGTTCCGTTCCCAACTGTAACGTGCCTGAACCCACATATCCTCCACATATCCTTTTTATCACCACAGCCATGTCTCCTTCCTCCTCCGCTACAGATGTAGCTAATTCCAGCCTTTTCTATTGTGGCAGAGGAATCGTAAATGTTGTATGTACTGGAAGCAGAAAAAAGAACTGCTTCGGCTGCACCACCATGATGAAAACCGAAATGCCGATGCCCACATTATTTACTTTAATGGCCAGCTCTGCAATTCTGTGTTGAGTTTATTCACTGGTTCCAATGCATCGAAGGCCACAAAGCAGGCATCACCCAGATACGGTTTTAAGAGACAGGATCTCCATTCCAGATTTCAGCCTCAATGCTGTAATTTTCAATCAAATCAGTCTTCTATAAATAACCTTATGTATATACATCCTTAAGGAGGAAAAAAAATATGATGAATAAATATATATATACGTCTTTTTTGTGTGTGCTAAGTTTCCAATTGTAATCACAATCTTTTTGTATGCAGCTGCTTTTGATTTCAAATGAATACTGTTTTAGTCTCCAAGTAAATATAGCCAATTGTAAAGCAGACCATCAATTGATGAGAGGAGGGGGAAACCCAAGCTCTGTTTGTCTGCTTTCCCAAAAATTCTGTTATGTTCTCATTGTTAATAACTTTAATTGCAATGATCATATTACTTAAAACACGGAACTTAATCATGACCCAGATATGACTGAACTGTGATATTTCTGGACCTATTTTTTCCCATCAATCAATTTTTCCCCCCTCTGCCTGTTTTATGACAAGGCAGGTTGATCACGGCTGATAAAGTTTGCCTGTCAGGAAGAAGTACTCATCTGAGATAAGATAAAGTCCTCATTG